GTGTCCTTTGGGTGGTTGGCGGGTGCTGTGGTCTGGTTCACTCTTTCTTTCCTATCTAACATCTATCGTCCTTACTTCCCCTCTTTCTTTTTGTGTTTGTTTCTCTGTTGTATCACCTCTAATCTTCGGCACTTATTATTGAGCTATAGGTGCCGTAAAAAAACAAACCCCTTACTAAAACTAACCTAAAAAAAACGTGCGTGATGACAAGTGCTGTGATGTATACCGACCTACAGATGTCGACGATCTGTCTTTGCAAAGAGTTTTTTTGTGGGTTTAAAAAAAAATAGCAAGGATTTTATATTTGTTGTGAATATCACTGATTGACATTGACTTTTTGGAAATACATTTTTTGTTCCATTTGCCTCATGTACTTCCTTTACTCTGTATGCGTTCGCATAAGACGTGCAAATAAACAGTATTTGAACTTATGATAACACCGTACTGTTTCTTGCCAAAACTCGTTCCCAGTGAGTTGGTCTATTTAATGTGTGCAGCTTATCCGAATTAGCATAATATTGTATGTGCTGCATAGTCTGGATGTTTTTCTTTTTCCTTTTTTTTTTAAAGGATTCTGACGGGCTTTTTAATCAGGTCGGAAGAAAAAAGGATCCGGAACAGGAAACTAAATACGTGTAGACTTTTTAAAAGAAAGGCTATCCAGTGTTGGTAAAAAATTATGTCTATCAGAGAACTCTTTTTTTAACACCTCATGATAATTTTTTTTAAAATTCAGCTGTTTCTCTGCGTAAAAAAAAAGATAATATAAGAATTGAATGTAGTGTGACGTTTTTTGGGTTCGGTGATAACTTGGCTCGTGTCGTCACACTGAGGGTGTTTCACAGTCCAGCCTCCGTGCCAGTCTCTGCAGACGTCACGTGATTGTTGTGTGTAACTGTGTGACTCGCCACCTCAGAATGACAAAAGTTCTATCTGACAATTTTGGCCGTTTTGAGTTACAAGGACCTTGAGGTCAGACACCAATTAATGTTTTATCTCCTCTATCAACATCGGAAGATAATTCAGAGTCGTTATCAAGATATTCAAAGAATTGCATTTGAAAATCTTAAACATGTGAAGCTCAACATTATTTTACGTCAAATTTCTCAAAACTATGTACTGAGCAGATAGAACTGTGTAATTCTGAGGTAGCGAACTGTGTAACTGCACTTCACTCACTCCACTCGTATAACATCTGTCCACTCTCCAATGATTGTTGTGGGTCTGTTATCGAGTAATAATGTCCTGTACTCTGTGTGTTTGTACCATAGACTTGTATTATAATATCCTAGACCGGGCACTGTTATGGCTGCTGTTCTTTGCTCTCAATTAAAGAAAAAAACAACAACAACAAAACTTTGCTGCGCATGAACGCACAAATGTAGGGCAAGACAACAGTCTCGCTATAGTCGAGCGCATGTCCAACCTTTCCCTCTTCTGCCTTTCATTTGGTTCCAAGTTGCGTCAAATGGTGCGCTACATAATGGTGAACCAGAATTGCGTCTGAAATCGGCCTTGGAGATTATAATACTCGTCTGTGGTGTGTGTGTGTGTGTGTGCACTACCAAATGGTCTTATTGGTGCTGTTTTTGTTGTTCACTGACCACACTGTGACCCCCCCCCCCAAACCCCCTTTTTTTCTAAATTGTTTTAACATTTACTCTGATAGATAATGCTATTATGATATATTGATGTAGTTTTACCCTGGATGGAAACAAAAAAAGTGACAACAAGCAAACAAAATCAGCACTAAAGCAGCTCATAAATGATGTCAACTACCAGAAGTGAAGAAGTAGGGGGCAGAGAGTTCGTAAAAAAAATAAATTAATGTGTCATGAAGGCCTATTGTATAGTAATATGAAAAATCCAGGATAGGTTCCTTATCAAACTACTCCATTGATAAACTATTTTTTGGTATGTGTTATAAAGTAGAAAGGAGTTTCTTTCCAGATTCTTTATTAATTCTTTTTTTTTTTTTTTGCGAGGAGTGGGGCTTATACTGAGTATTCGGAGCTTGAAAGTGATGTATTGTTCCTGGGATTGACTGTAAATGTAAGATTAGTGCTTGCCAAGCTGGGTGATGGGTGATATCGCTCACTTGTGGGAAATTTTGAGAATTTGATGGGAAAATGGGAATCACCATAATAGTTTAAGTTATTATTTAATGCCCAGCTTGATGTAGGTGAGTGTTACGAAAATTTGAGCCTCGTAAAGGTGGTAAAAGGGGCGCTCGCTAAGAAAAGGTTGACAAGCAGTGATTTATATCATAATATATATCTGTGGTGTAATTGTTAGGCTCTTCACGTTTTTGAGTTCGATTCAGGAGTGGGACGTCTATTTTGTTCAATATCTACGGCTCTCTGTGAAGCAGCCATCCTCCAAATAATCTTTATTTTGTAGATGGGGGGTGTAAAACGTAGACAATTTATCAGGCTTAACTGCTGGTATCATGACTCATTGGGGCTGATCAAAGGTCCAAGATTATTGGTTCCATTTTGTGTAATGTTCCTGTGTCCCAGTTTTTGTTTTTGCTAATAATTTGTATGTTGTAAGGTTGTTTTTTTCTGTGTGTGGTGTCAGTACCCTAGTTGTTAGGCTACCATACCTGTGATTGTGAGATTATGGGTTCAGGGGTTTGAGCCTCAGCTCTGTCCGATGCTGTGTCCTTGGGAACGACACTTTATATGAATTTCCCCATTTGGTTTGGTCCTCTTGGAGATTGACATTAAACTAGGATGCCCAGCCTCTTAAATAACCTAATAGTGTTGATAGGGGTGTAAAACCTATGCCATCAATTTTTTTTTCTGTGTGTCTTTGAACAGCTCCTCCAAAGCGGAAACCGGCCCCGATTCAGACGGTCAAGGAAGATCCCAACATGTCGGACCGGGAGATTCTGGTGAGTAGCTCGCCCCTTTGTACCTACAGCATAGTCTTGCCACCATTCATCATTGTCGTATTTCAAAATACGAGATTTTCAGGAGAAGCAAAAAAAAAAAAAATGTGTCATATTTCTGGCAGAACCTAAAGTTAATACAAAATGTTTAATTCGTCTAAATCTGTTACTGTGTCATTCCCTCGGAATGATGAAACTTATCTGGCATTTTTGGCCATTTTGAGGTACTAAGACCATGAGGTCAGAAACCAAATGTTCGATCTGCTCTATCAAAAAAGCATTTTGAATTCTTTTGGCCTGGTTTCATTTGAAATGTGTGCTAAATTGGTGGTCCCACCTTTGAAATAATTTTTCTGTGTTTAGAGGGGTATTAGACCAGTACTCATCTACTGTCTTTGACTCTATTTGCTATTTCTGACCATGCAGGAGACAAACCTCCAGAAGATACAGAAGAAGAATCCGCTGAGCGGCCCACGGCTGAGGATGAGCATCTCTGCTGGTGACCTCATTGGCAAGACGGTGAGTCCCAGATCAAACCTGTCACTCCCAACTGAAGGGTTGTGCTTTAATATATATATATATATATGGATATATTGGAGATGTGCATTAAAATCGCAGGTGTGACCTATGAAATGATTTTTTCATACATATTATGTAACTCGAGGAATATTTTGATCCTGATTTGGTCTAACTGTCTTACTGGTTTCTAGAAAATTTTCAACAGACACACACACACACAAAAAAAATCAATGTGAAAGTTAAGCCCACTATAATTTTACACTATTTATAATGCTTGGCACCGACTGATTTTTATTGTACACAAGCAGAGCGCCCTCAGCTGTGGTTTTAGAACCAAAAAAAAAAAAGTTTGAACTATTTCTTCCAGTTACATGGTTAGAGCATTACACCTTTGATAAATATGATTTGTGGACAAGGATGACCAGTTGGAAGACACTCAGCTGTTAATATAAATACAGTCTGAAAACCACACAATGTACGGTGAATTTCAATTAGTGTCGCTTCGGTTTTTTTCATTCAGTGCTGACAATTATGATGACGATGCTTAAACTATTTGAAAAAGTTGTTTTTGATCCTGTTTTCGGAATGCTCTTTGATGTTTATGGCCAATGGAATATGCCTTCCCTTTGACAAGAAAATTTCACTGTGCTTGCGAGGTCTGATACTTTCTTTTTGTTTTAACACATACTCACAATGTCCCCTCCCTGTTCACACCCTTCCCCTCCCTGCTCCTTTCCCCAGCACGACGAACTGGTTTTGTTGCTGATACAACTGCGAAGGAACCAGGCGGCGCTGGAAAAGACCCGCGACTTTTACCGCAGCCAGACCGAGCACAAACGAGCTGCCGAGCTGGAGTACCGCAAACAGTGAGGGCGAGAATAGTTTGTCTGAATGTTGGTCTGTTTGTTTGTGTAAATGTTAATCTGTTTTGTGGGTAGAAGGGGGATAAATGGTGACTGTGATGTAGCTGTTAGATTCTTGGCTGTCTTGTTGGATGCAAAAGATGTAAATTCAATTCCGGAGTAGTGACTTTGAAAAAATGAGATGTCTTGGTCTGTCTGCTGAGTATCACTCACACTTAGCTGAGATAGGTCCTGACGGGCAGGGAGGACACAGTTCGGTTCCTTATTGGTCTTAGTTTGTGTTGATGGCAACGGAGAGCATTATAATAAAGAAAAGAAGGGTGTTTTGTTTTTTTATTTTGTGTTGCCAAATCTTGTCATTTTTTGTTGTGTTTGGGGAGGAGGTGGTTGTATGCGGTTCAGGTGAGGTATGCTCTCTGTTTTTCAGTTTTTGTGTTCCTATTGGAATTATTTGACGGAGGTATGCATTTGAATCCTGACATAGACACAAAGTAGAGAGATGTGTGTTGATGAGTGTGTATGTGTGTGCGTGTATGTTCTCACGATGTTCCAGCAAACTTCTCTTTGGAGAGATAAAAAAAACTGTTACCTGACCTTACCTTACTTACCTTACCTTACCTTACCTTACCTTACCTTACCTTACCTTACCTTACCTTACCTTACCTTACCTTACCTTACCTTACCTTACCTTACCATACCATACCTTACCTCATCTCACCTCACCTCACCCACCTCACCCTTTCCTTTTCCTTATCTTATTTTATCTCATCTTATCCTATCCTATCTTGTCTTATCCTATCTTATCTTATCTGATCTTATCTTGTAATGAACTGAGGGTGGTATGTGACTTCTCACTGTCTCCAGAGTCCATCAATATGGTGAGGTGCAGGACAGGAGGTTGTATGAACAACATCAAGCTTATGTGGATGCCAGAATGCAGATGGAAGAGGTCGAGAATAAGGTGAGTAGAAGTTGTTCTTTTTTCGTTGTTTTAATGGAGATGCCGGTTACTTTAGAAGCTTTTTTGTGGGTTTCTTTTCTTTGATGATGGGGTCAATAAAAAGGAAGAAATTTTGTTTCTTTACGTCATTTGTAGAATAGAAAAATCGAATTTTTATAAGATATTTTACTTACTCTTTGCCCCATTTGCCTTGGAATTTTTCAAAAGTCATTGCACTTTCCAGACGAAATGGACCAAGATTGTTGAAAGTGATTGAAGCTTTGGTGGGTTTCTCTGTCTTTTTATAATTATGTCGCATTAGCACATACATGGCACTGAAAATGCAGTTATGTCATTGTTCTTGTAAAGGACACTTAATTCTTTCCTTCGGCAAGCTGTAAAACCTGTCCATATGACAGTTTTTTACACTCTTGCACTCTATACTTTTCATACTCTCTTGCACTCTATACTTTTCATACTCACACAAAACTCTACTATATGGTCACATGACTTTGTTTCTTTGGCATACTGTCTGACCGGTGGAAATTCATTTACCTGTATTTTGATATAATGTGACACATTTGAGTATCTCTTACAAATTAAGATGAACCTATATTTTTCTGATTACAGTCAGATAAAAAAAAAAAATGCCTGCTGAAATGGCCTGGTCACTGATGAAAAGGGTCTGGATGGGAATGAGATAATGGTCAGGGTTTTTGGGTGGGATTTTCTTCACGTTTATAATTCAGTGCTTGCCAACCTGGGTAATAGCCCCCAAGTAGGCAATTTGGTAATTTTGATTGGTGGTGGGGATCACCTATAGATGTTATTTAATGCCACGCTTGTTCATGTTTAGGGGGGAGCCTCTGAAATGTGGCAAAAATGGGTACTGGCAATAAAAATGTTGACAGGCTCTGATTTAATCTGCCAGAAAGATTTTTTTCTAATGTCTGATTTGTTCTGTGTTTTAATAATAATAATATTGATAAATAATATAAAGTGTTTGTACAACACATATCCCCGCTCAACAGCAAGCTGTATGTGCTTTACCATCTCTGTATGTCCCCAGCTGGAGGTGTACCGACCCATCATCAACCTGCTGGACAACATGGTCACTATGGGCAGTCTGTACGGGGGGGATAACCTCATGCTGGCCACACAGTACAGGAAGGTATTTTGTATGCTTGTTGCCTCCCATTGTTTCTTTTCCGCTTCTCTGTGGAGATTTCACCTTCAGGAAAAATGCACTTTTATCTTTGTGAATATACAAAACCTTTTCTTGTGGGTAGTTGGTGGATGCTCTGGTGTGGTTTGCTCTTTCTTTCCTATCGAGCATTTTATTGTCCTGTTCTCTCCTTCATTTTCGTGTTTGTTACTCTCTTGTGACACCTCTAATCTTTTGCACTTGTACGACCTTATTGTGTTGCAAGCTCTGTAAAACTCTTACTTAAACTAAAGACCTTTTCTTTGTTATGAATATTTGATGATTGTAAAAAAATTCTGAATGTCTTACATACTCATGCAGTTAAGACCAATTAGGTAGCAGGCGGTTTTGACTTCTCTTGTCATGGAACTACCTAGGTTGCATGGGATACTGCATCCCTGCCGACAGATGTTGAAGAAATGTAGGTGGTTTTTTATGCCCCTTCAGCACAATTTAGATTCTTTAAATTGTGGGATTTGACAAACTGTACCTGCTGGGTAAAAAAGTAAGCTTTGAACTAAGTTGCAAAAACAATTTTTTCTTTCTTTAGCTTTTTCTTTCTCTCTCTCTCTCCTCCAGCACTTGTTACGACCAGATCAGTACCAGCCGCCCAAGAAGATGCTGGAGTTCTCTCGACAGCACCAGGAAGATCGCCTCATTCAGGAGACCCAGGAAGAAATCAAACAACTTTCCTCAGATGAAGTCGACTTGGAGGTCTGTACTCTTAAGCTGTCTCATTAATTTTTTGTTTGCGCTTTCCGGTTTTGTTTGTTGATTATTTTTCCTTTTATTGTTGAAGCTGTAAGTGTTAACTTATTTCATTTGTGGAGTTCTCATGACTTCTTTTTCTGCTGCTTTTGCTTGGACCTCTCATTTCCTATTTCAATGCATTTTTATTATTTCCCAGTGCAATGTTCGTTCTGTTATGAACTTGTCTCTAATCACAGTTATTGTTTTCGTTTGTTTTTTCTGAGGTGTGAGTGAACTCTTTGTGTTCTTCAAGATGGTTCACTGTTTGAAAACAACATCCTTGGCAATCACTGTGCAGTAACATGGTGCCGCTACCAACACTGTCAACAACTCCTTTCATGTTTCTCATATAGAGCTTATAAAACAATCTTTTCTCCTACTCTTTGTATTCATGATACGTCACTCCTTAGAATTAGTGTCCTGTGGTCGTATATATATATATATATATATAGAGAGAGATGGCACCAGTGGGGTTTTTAAGGTCATTGCCTTGTCTTTGAATAAACACATACTTTACCTTGAAGCATTCCACTCATCTTTTTGTTAGATTATCTAACTGTTTTGTGACAGCAAAAGCTACAATGTGTTTTCTTGACATTCCGTTTTCAGGAGAAGATTGATCGTCTGAATGAGCTTGACCGGCTGCTACAGGAGCAAAGCTTCAAAGTCTCCAGTTTCAAGCAAGACAAGGTCAGTTCTTGTCTCTTGTGTGATTTGTTTGTGATTGTAAATGTTTAAAACCCCTATCGACACAATTTAGGTCATATACGGGCTGCTTTGACCCTGCCTGTCATGGCCAATGCGGGCTGAGAGGGATTTAATGATACTCGAGAAAAAAATCCTCATCACGTAGGAATGGAACCCGTGTCTTTTGCATGAGATGCTAAAGCACCTAATCACTATACTACAAACACCAGTCACATGTTTGTAGCTGTAGAGATGACCAAATTTGTAGCAACAACAGTGTGGCTGCCCCTTAGGCTTTGGATATCTGGGTGTGTGAGTCCTTGCTGAGGTACAAAGAGGAAAAAAAAAATGTTTTGTTGGGGACTTGTTTTCCTAGATGTGATTTCTATTCCTAGCTGTCAATAAGAGGATGTTATGTCTTCAGGAAGGATATTTTACCTTAATTCAACTAAACAATAACCTGGAGAAAAATCACAGAAATTGATGTACAGAAAAGTGGGAAGACATGGAATAACACCAAGAGGCTAGCCCAGAATAGAAAAAGGCAGAAAGTGTTTGTTCGTGGCCTATACCCCGGTGCAGGGTGAGAAAGGCAATGGTAGTGATGATGATCATGATGATGGTGATGATGATCATGATGTTGGTGATGATGAACTAAACAAAATTTCTGAACCTTTTTTGTGTACATTGCATTCTTCCAGGAGCTGATGGAGAAAGCACTGAACGGAGTTCTGAAGCAGCAGGAACAGAACCCCAACGACCCCCGGGAGATGAGATGGCTGGGACAGCAGCAGAGGATACTGGAGAAGGAAATCTCTCGCGTCACTCAGCAGCTGGCTGAGGCTTCCAAGGTACTCCTCTCTCGGGTCAAGGTCACAAAAAAACTGTTTTTATAAAATGCTCCACATAAGAAAATCTATGTTTGATTTTTGAAAATCAATGTTTGATATTTCGAGCAAAGACCCTATGTTCAACATTTAGTAATTACAGTGTGTCAATGGACATTACAATATGTAAACTATAACGATAATAATTGCTTTTATATATATAGTGTATGTCCATTCTAAAGTCACCAGCTTTACAACTATTAGTATAACGGCAGACCTTAGAACGCTCGAAAACATTCTCAGATTTCTGGGAAGCATACAGTGCAAGCAGCCGATTAAGTACTGAAACACTAATAAATCAACAAGAAGATATTTCGCCGTTCTATAGCCTAGTGCCAGTTTTTACTTGGATGAAGTGAGGAAAAGTCAACTGCCTTTCCAAAGGACACAACGTCGAGTGGAGAGTAGCCTCAAACTCCTGAATCCGCATCCTCACAATTAGGAGTCCTCAACTGGACTAGATGATTGGAATGCGACTTCTGAGGAATATTGCATGAATAGGATGGGGGCAGAGTTACACACAGAAACACAGAAAAGTTTGGTATTTGGTAGAAATCTCCTGTCTTATTCACGAATATATAGGTATATAGGATAAGTAGCTTGCGAGCTGGTTTTTTCATTAACGATTCCTGACCTGTTTTGTGTGCTTGTGTAGGAGCTGGAGGAGACCACGGCTCAGAACAACAAACTGGAGCACGAGGTGGCCCTGCTGAGGACCAAAGTCCACGGAGAACTCACCCGCAGTCGTAGTGCACCCTCACTGGTAAGATACAACTCACCCGCAGTCATAGTGCACCCTCACTGGTAAGATACAACTCACCCGCAGTCGTAGTGCACCCTCACTGGTAAGACAGAAGAACTTACCCTCTTTCGGTGGAAGAAATAAGTCGACTTTTTTTGTTGTTCTATATCCATTGCTGAGGTAGATCTGCAGGTACTTAATGACTTCTCACATTACTCAGATCTGAAGAGTATTTAGTCTATATTGATACATTTTCATGAAACTGCGGTACTCAGTAGATATTTGGTAAGAGCATAAACCATCACTGTACTGATGTATAAGATTCCCCCCCCCCACACACACACACACACGCCTCCATTGATACATTGACACAGGTATCTCCTCATCCCCCCTCCCTCCATTGTTATATTGACATGGGTATCTTCTCCCCCTCCCCCCCCAAAGATATATTTTATTTTTGACACATTGATGTAGACACATTTCCCCTCCCGTTCCCCCCAGGCGTCGGAGAACGCCCGCACCAAGATGAAGATGGAGAAAGAACTGGCCAAGGTAGAGGGCATCATGCAGGGCTTGAACAAGGAAGGGGCACGACTCTCACAGGCCATGAACACACTGCGGAGGTCCTCGTCAGGGTCGCAGCTCGCAGCTGCTCTCGGTAAGATTGGATAATGTGGTATGGTTCAAGTTGTTTAACACTTTTTGTACCGTCGGCAACTTTAGTCGCAAGGCCGTAGTATGCGCTCATTACCGCTGGTGACTTAAGTAGCTGACTCGACCAGGCACGCTAAACATAATTAACCAAGAAACTGAGCCACTGCACTGAAGTAAATACCAAAGGAAATCACTTTATATGATAACTAAATCGTTGATGAACCTTTGTGAAATTCTTTGTGAAATTTTAAAGCTTGTTTCTTGGGCTGCGAAGATTTACAATGGCTTCAGTGTTCTAAACTGGTGCAGGACTTAAGGGTTTTTCACTCTAAGAGCCTTCGGTACTGTTAGTGTTAAAAGCGTGCTGTTTTAATGGAAATTAGTGCTACAAATTACTCTGCTCATTACGCTATTATTTTATTGACTTTTTGCAAAAAGTCACGAAGATGAGATAAAAGAAAGTCATTTGAAAATAAATAAACTGAGTATATTGTCCACTGTTATACAAACAGAATGTCATAGTTATAGAAGTTAACTAGAATTTCAAAGAAAGCAAGTGTCATTCTAGGCTGTCTCTTGTCAATTGCAATGTTGACATATTTTTATCTACTATGTTTGCAGATAGAGAAGAGGCGGAGAGAAAGACAGGAGGAGGGACATATTTGCAGACAGATCTGGACTCGGGTGAACAGATCGATTTGGCCGGGATGCTGGAGGCGGGTTCTGTGGAGGGAGACAACTCTATGCCCATCATCAACCACCAGAGACAGGTGGGATGATGTTCTTGTTCTCTCTCTGTCTGTCACTCTCTCTGTTCTGGTTCATTTCTTTCGTTCTTTCTCTTTCTCTTTCACTCTGTCTGTTTCCTTATTAATTTCTCTCTGTCTGTCTGTTTCTCTATTCGACTCTCTCTCTCTCTCTCTCTCTCTCTCTCTCTCTCTCTCTCTCTCTCTCTCTCTCTCTCTCTCTCTCTCTCTCTCTCTCTCTCTCTCTCTCTGTCTGTCTCTCTCTCTCTCTCTCTCTCTCTCTCTCTGTTTATTTCTCTCCCTCTCTGCCCCCTCCCTCTCTCCCACTCCCACACCTCTCTCACATTTCCTCTTTCTCTCTGTCCTTCTATCTTATTTTTGCTCTCTCTCCATTTTGTCTCAGTGATTGTGCTTTTGTTGAAGAATGTCATGGTGTCAGGAACGCTCCTTTTCTGGACACTGCTAACAAGGTGCATAAATCTGAGTCGTTCTAATGAACACGAGCATGAAGATTGAAATGTGAGGAGAAATAATTCATTGAACTGCTGTCGGTTTAGGCTTAGTTTTGTTTTGAAAGCTGCTATGAGAGAACAAAAACCAAATACATTTTAAAAAAACAAGGGTAGAAACATTGTCTGTGGAGAGTTTCAACCAGCAGTGGTGTACTTGCCAAAGTTATCTTCATCGACGACTTCTAGACAGAACTATAACAGGTGAGATGGATCAGATATAAGTTGTATTGAAGCGCTTTCAGTACATATTTTTAAAGATTGAATGTTTTGAATATTGTAGTTTACTGCATGGCAAAGTGACTTACTTCCCAGAAATCAGCGGATGCAAACTCCTTTTGAATGTTTGATGTTCTTTCTTTCTGTTGCCAATGCTCTCTGCATGTCTCGAGGTGAAAATCACAAACTGTTTGTTATCACGGAGATAATATTTCATTTGTTTAAGGGAGAAATGTAAAATTGAAGTACTTTTTGAGTTTCCTCTTGTAGAGCAACTCACCCAAGAGTTCAAGAAATAAACTGGAGCACTCATGAACCCAAATCAATGGCTTGGTGCGTGATTCCATCAAATGCCATATTGCAAAATGGTGCTTGTCAAAGTCTTACATCTAGCTATCAAAATATTTGTTTAAAAAATTGATGGTTTTTGTTAAATACTATGTAAATGAGCTTATACTTGGAGGTACTTGGTTTGCAATTTTCACTTGACTGTGACATTCGTTTGTCCCGGCTGTGTTGGCAGTATGAAAATATTGTTCTGCTCTCTGACTTTACAGTGGGTGTTTGACTGATGTCACTTGTATGTCTTACTTCTTTCCAGTCTATATGTATTCCCTGTTTGCTGTCTTTCTTTTCTCCTGTGCTATATGGTCCCGATTGCATTGCTCACATTTTTCCCCCACAAAAAAAAAGCAAGAAAAAAAACATCTAAAAGAATAAATGCCACCCTTTGTGCTTTGTGGGTGGTTGTGGTCACTTTGTTGTGGTCACTTTGTTGTGGTCTGCTTCTTCTACATCTTTCCAGTGCTAATGTGGTCAGTTGGTATCATGTTGGGCATGGTGTGGATGGCGCTGGGTCAAACCTAAAAGGGACATTCTTGGACTTGGGTTGGTTGAGTTTTCAAAGCTCTTCACCTACTTGGTTTGGTTGTATTGGACATGGGCGTCGATTTTGGAGCTCATTCATCATCATCATTTACCTCTTTCACCCTGATAATTGGTATAGGCCTTCAAGAAGGGTTCATAGTTTTGGAGGTCCCGCCTCTTAAATACATTTCAGTGTTGAAAGGAGCATTAAACCCTCACAACTATCAATTCTATTGTTGCTGTTATCTGTATGTTCTTGTGGAAATGCTACTGTTATTGTGAACTTCCTATAAACTCTTGAATTGAGATGTTACCATGTGAACTACAACTCTTCTCATCTGAGTGAGTATTGGTCCTACTTCTTTTCTTTCCATCCATTGTTCTGTATGCTTGTCATGCTCTTTTCCTGCCCTGAATGATCGTTATTGTTGTAATGTGCTTCTCTTGGCCGTAATAAAACAAACGTCTCATCTGTGTGGCCTCAGTGCTCTTTGCTTGCTGTTGTCCTAACATTGTTCTCCCCCCTCTCTCCCGCGTCGTTGTCTGTGTGCTCAGAACGCCAGCGCCTCGGAGGATTGGGACATGGACGGAGCCGACGAGAACACCAAGCGATTTTTTGGTGAGGAACACATGGTTCTGGATGGTGGGGAGTGGGTTATGGACAGGGGGTGTCGGTCAACGCTGAGTAAATTTTTTTGGGTGAAAATGCTGTTTTCTGCAAATACATCTGAATGGACAATTACTTGTATTTAATATCATCATAGTATATCAGCTCTACAGTGAGATAAAGCTTTTTTACTTTTCATTCAAAAGACATGAATTTAATTCTGTAATGGCAGAGATATTTTATTGAGAGTCTCTGTCATTCTACTGAGGAAGTATTGTTTTTATCCCAAGTTGGCCATGACATGTAGGGTGAAAGCAGCCGGTCTCTTCAATGATCTAAATTATGTTGATAATGCCTTAAGTGTTTACAGAACAGTATGTGCGTGTAATATTGACTGTAAAGTACTTAGAGCATGCTGTTGAGTGAGAATTTACATGATACAAATGTTACTTGTCATTTCCTCTAAATCGGTGACATTTCCAGGTTCTGGATTTTTGGGTAAATCTTTCAGTTGAATGTAAGATGTGGTACTGAAGGTACAGTTATAGAGACAGAAATAATATTTTGTGTGGTGTCATTTGAGGGCTGAACTGGCTGTCATGCTGTGTGTCTTTAGGAGGAATGAGATATAAAATTAGATTAGCCTAGTGAGATATTGTTGGTGGTGTGAGTCTTGGGTTGGAGATACAAGATTATTGACTGTCCGTGTAGTGTTATGTTCAACATTAGTGGATTTGGGGGGGGGGGTGTTAAATTAAAACCACACTCATTGTAGAGTGATGAAATAAGATGGAAATGGAAATATTTCATTTTCAATGCAGGAGGGCTTTTGTAAAGGCAGAAAAGTTCTGAAGTGAAATCGTGTTCTGTTTTTTGGATGAATACTGTGTCAGAAATGATGTACTATAGGAATAACACATAAGACAGACTGTTCCCCTTTAAACAAAATGCTTAGAATACTGAGAATGAATAAAGTTCTCTTTGCTTGTTGTATTAATTGATCTTTTCCTCGTGTTGCATTGATAAATTTGTTTGAGCATGTACTGCTAGCTTTGTTGTGATAAGTTAACTGCGTGCATTTGCCAGAGGTGCCGATATTTGGGATAAATCTGGAAGTCAGCACTTCTGAAATTGCCTGAGTAGGCTGATCGACTTAAAGTAGTATTGATAAAAATCCTAGCACACATGTTTTCATCTTGATCAGGTAAAAAAAGTTTTGGATTTTTGTTCGTAAACAGTTGGCACCTCTGGATGGCTGTCTCTGTGCTCTTAATTCTCTCTGTGTTCTTAGTCCTTTTCTGACAAGTGCAATGTGAGGTCTTTCCGAGAAATTGCTAAATTTGACTGTTTTGCAAGGTTTGTAAGGTATTTGTTGATACATTTTTTTTTTCTCGAATATTTTGTGTTGTTGGTAAGAGACAAAATGTTTTTTTTTTTTTTTTTTTTAAATGAAAGCCAAACTCATTGTAGAGTGAGAAAGTAAGATATTTTCAATGCCTGAAGGCTTTTGTAAAGAAATGAAGTTTTAAACGGAAACTGTTTTATTGTATGGTATGCAATAAACTGTGTGTTTAGGGAATTACACCTTGACACAAGATTTTGTATTGTTGGTAAGAGACTGGAATGTTATATTTCCTTCTCCTTTATCACTTTGTTAAGTGTGTCTGATTTTTTTATTTTTCCCAACACCATACAAATGTCTCTGTAATTGTGTTTCTTTGTAAATGAAAAAGAAAAATTAATATTTTTGTGCATGTATGAGTGTGTGCGTGTGCATGTGCGTGCGTACGTGCTTGCGTGCGTGTGCGCGCGTGTGTGTTTGTATTTGTGTGTGTGTGTGTGTGTGTGTGTGATGTGTTGGTCAGTGTATGTATTCATTTGAATTAGTTTTTTTTTTTTCTTTTTTGTTGTGTGTGTTTGTATGCATGTTTGCGTGTGTATGCTTATTTGTTTTTGCATACATATATACCATGTGTATGCAAGTGATTAAGTATATTATATCTAAGCAGCTATTAAAATATAACATGCTGTGTGTCTCTGTAACCTTAGGACTGATGCCCAGGGACAAGCCTAAGGGCCAGACTGTGAGAGACGTGAAGCGACAGGCGGAGCAGCGCAAGGAGAGGGAGAAACACAGCCGCAGAGATGACGAGGAGTTTGGAGAAGGTGGGGAGTGCATTTCTTGGGGGTTTTTTCTTTGAGATGTCATATTTGTTTTTGTATCTGGAAAATGAGAAATTTCTCCCTTTTATACTTGGTGTTGTATTTTAAAAAGTGTGAAGGGATATAAGAAGTTGTCCCCTTTTCTTTGAGATGGTTTATTTTTTAAAGTCTGTGGATGGGTGGTTGGCTGGTGCTCCGGTGTGGTTTGCTTATTCTTTCCTATTGGACATCTATCATCCTTATCTCCCCCTCTTCTTTTTTTATGTTTATTACTCTCTTGTAACACCTCTAATCTTCTGGCACTCATATGACCTTATGCCGTTTCGAGCGCTGTAAAACTTCTACTAAAAAAAACAAAACAAAAAAAAAGTCTGTGTTGTGTGAGATATTTTTAATTCTGTGTGTCATTTTTTGGAAGTTTATGAAATATTAGAAATGTTACCCTTTGCTTGAAGGCATCACTGTTATAAACATTTTTAGACTTTGACAAGTGAACAATGTTTGTTCCCTCTAACTCTTTTGTGATTTTTGTTGCCCCCCCCCCCCAGTTTTAGTCAAAGTTCAGGTCTTCTTTTTAAAGGGATGTTTGAGTAAACATTGTTATATAATAATCTCATATGGTCTCTGTGGTATAATAAATACTTGTGGGCGGTTGGCAGGTACTCTGGTGTGGTTTGCTTCATATTTCCTATCAAACATCTATCGTCCTTGTCTCCCCTCCTTCTATTTTGGGTTTGTTACTCTCTTGTAACACCTCTAATTTTCAGCAGGTATATGACCCTATTGTGTTGCAAATGCCGTAAAACTCTTTCTAATTCTACTAATAAATACTTATGCTCTCGTGAACTAAAATGATGTGAATATGGTTGTAACATGGGTAAGACAATTTGTCGAGTTCTTGTGTTTTAAATCTGGGATCTGCCCCCCACAGCCCAGGTTGGCCTAGGCAGGCAGGGTTGAATCAGCTTACTACTTAAATGATCTGAATTGTGAGGATTATTAAAACTTTTTTTTATTTGAGGGGGGAGGGGGGGGGGGGGGGGGAGAAGAATTACATACAGTATTCTTTAGAGTGATGAAATATAACTTTCTTCTTTTTAAACAAAAATCCAGAAATCAAATTGCGAGTGAGCAATGTGGATAACGAGGTGAGCTCCATCATCCATGCACGCATCCCCGTCAATTCAAGTCTGAACAATAACCACGCAACAGCTGCACCCGGGGGGCAGTTTGAGAACAGCGCACATCCTCTCTATGAGAACTTGCCTCGCTATGGCTCTGTTCCAGCGCTGCCAGACAGCCAATCAGCTTCCAGCTCTCGTCGCTCTTCTATTATCCTGATGGCGCCGAAGCCGTTCACTCCATACCAAGACAAGTCATCAAGGCCGTTCCGCAGTGAGCTAGCCCTCAACACAGATCCAGACTCTCGGTTTGGTGCGGGAGATGTAATGACGAAACCTGACAGTAATTTAGACAGGAACTACCGCAGTGAGGAGATTCTCAACGATAATTCTGACGGTTTCATGAACAGCCAGGTTGGCAAGGACAAGGAGGAGATCAATCCGTATGTGAATGAGAATCCGTACATGCGGAGTGCGTACGAGAGTGACCTTCCTTTGAACAGTTTTGGCAGTGCTCATCAGCTGAGCTCGGGAGAGTTCCACGCCAAGCCGTTCTTCGCTCACCAGAGGGCGGTCAGTGATCTCGGAGGAGTGAGTGACCCCATGATGACCTCTACGGTGGCTAATGATGTTTACTCCTCACACAACACAGGGCTGGACTCAGGGTCTGGTAAGTCTGATGTGATGACGGTTTGCGTGTGGCTGAAGTTTTCTTACTTTTAAACAGTTTTTATGCTCCTTTCTGATGAATAGGATCAAAGCATCTCATTTCCTAAATAATTTGAATTGTAAGAATTTGGGAGTTGAATATTTTCAAAAAATTACAGCACTAAAATCACTAAAAATTTTGTATTGTTAGTTCATGAAAAAGGTCCTACATTTGTGATTGTAGCTTGCATACCTGATCTGCTGCATGAAAGTTAGAGGCTCGAGTGTTAGTCAGGTCTGAATTATTTTTCTTCTTCTTCATGGAGCATATCCTTTCAGCCTGTGGTGTTTATAGGACAAATTATGCTCCACCTTCACAATGACCTACATAGTATGTGGTAGGGACTTAATGTCAATAAGAGCAGCAGAATTACTGTCCACTTTTTGACTCTTCCACAGCATCTACAAAAGTCAATAATCTTGACAACGGACATTCTCGAGCGTATGTTCCCAGACCGTGGTCAAAACCATCTGCCGAGATTGACAGTGATTTGTTTAATATGAAGAGAAACTCACGCGGACGATTCCCGACCATCTCCAGTAGCCAGCCTGTTAAGATGGAAGGCTCCTCCTTCATGCACCCGACACTGCACAGCACGGCTGGAGATCTCATCCTCAACCGATCGGTGAGCAGTGGGCGGTTTTGTTACTGTTGTAGATCACAAAGCCTTGTGTGTTATGTGGGAAAGTTGTCTGTAGACTAGGACTTGTGAAAAACAAAACAAGGAGTATGTGTGTTCGGGTGGGTCGTGTGGGTGTTTGTGTGTTTGTGGATGTGTTGGTGATTGTGTGGGTGCATGGATATGTGTGAGTGGGGTGTGACGGGGTGGGTTGCGGTGTGTGGATGAGGGTGGATGAGTGTGTGTGTGTGTGTGTGTGTGCGTGTGCGTATGTGTGTGTGTGTGTGTGTGTGTGTGTGTGTGTGTGTGTGTGTGTGTGTGTGAAACAGAGATAGCCGTGACAGAAAGAGATATAAAAGATATGTTTCTTTCTACCAGTCTTACATGGATAAATTTTGTCTGCATTTGTATTTGTTAACAAGATATTTGGGGTAACTTATGGGGAAATTTCCACCATGTGTGATGACTAATTAAGTGGAAGGTAGATGGGTGCTCTTCTCTCTAATCTGTTTTGTCTACTTCTGCCTTCTCTGTTCTTTGTTCTTTTCTCTTATCTGTTCCTGGTGTATTGTGACAGCCTTTTTGCCAGTTCTTCCTAAAGCTTAACTCTGCTACAAGCCCTGTTTCCTTGTTGTCATTAGTTTTTTACCAGCTTGGTGTGACCCACTGTTGTCAGAATGAATGTCTTAGTCTCAGGCTTGCCAACTGTCCCAATTTTCCTTGGACTGTCTCATATTTCTGCGCATAGTTGTGCTGAGGAATTATCCACAACCTCATCACACACACTGCTCTAAATCCATTCCTACTAGATGTAATTTTGTTTGTTGTCACTTAATCTGATGTTAGAACTTTGGATATCCCTGATTGAGTTTTGAAAAAGTTGGCAAGCCTTTATACGGGGTGCCCATTACGGATGGGATCGGCACGTTGGGGTCGTCTCAATAACAAACAAAAAAACTTTGTTTTCAGTTTCAGGCGTCGATCCAGCCGTAATGTGCACAACATATTCGTTTTTTTCTCTCAAGTCATTTGTGGATGTTGTTCAACAACAAAAACAAAAGAAATATTACCACACAGAAAAGAAACAATATTGTGTTTTAAATGTTGTGCGTGCTTCTCTCCCCTGTCAAGGCGTTGTTGTATCGCCTGTTCATGGTAAGAGACAGACTGCATGAAAGTTATCCCTGTACCAAGATGTCACTAGTATCTTTTATATCACTACTAGGAGAATGGGCAAAGACGTAAACAGTATGGGAGATATTTCAGTACCCCTTGTTGACGATACTTGTATCGGTATATTGCTGGCTTGATAAATGTTAATATTGTTGCTCTCATGAAATTTGCTGTGCTTACTTAATCCTAAGTGTACGTTTTGGAAAGTTTGTTAAAGCAACCAAGCTGGTGGTTGGTGGGTGCTCTGGTGTGGTTTGCTCTTTCTTTTCTTTACTATCAAACATCTATCGTCCTTATCTCTCCTCCTTTTTTGTGTTTGTTACTCTTTTGTAACGCATCTAATCTTTGTCACGTGTTTGACCGTATTGTATGGCAAGTGGCGTAAAACTCTTACTAAAAGTAAACTAAAAACAACCAATACTAATGTCTCTTTTTTTCAGTAAGAAGCAAAAAAGTAAAGCAGTGGGAAAATGGAGGGCAGTAGGTGCAGTGAGGCAGTAGGTGCAGTGAGGCAGTAGGTGCAGTGAGGCAGTAGGTGCAGTGAGGCAGTACGTGCAGTGAGGCAGTAGGTGCAGTGAGGCAGTAGGTGCAGTGAGGCAGTACGTGCAGTGAATGTTTTATTTATGATAGAAGACGGTGATGTCATTGATGGGAACAGGAAGCAGATCCTGAACTTAATTGTGTTTTCATGACACTGCAATTTTTAATTTTGGAATATTAAGTGATGTGTCATCTGAGAGTTTGTCAGAAAGATGAGGGGGGGAGGGGGGGTTGTTGGAGAGAGTTATAGAGAAAGAAAGAAAGAGAGACAGACACAGGGACAGATAGAGAGAGACAGACAGACAGATAGAGTGTCTGAGTCAGGGGAAATGGGAATCTATATACATTTATTTGGAATTATAAGTGTTTGCTGTGGTTGTACTACAAGATCACCGCACATTTGTCTTGAGGTGAACAAAGATTGTCCATATTGTGAACCCTTGATCATGCCCTGTGTTCAGCACTATGTCTCCTGTACCTCACTCAACAGCATGAGATTTTCAGAGATCGTATTGTGAAGTACCTTGTGGTTCCCATATGTATGTGTACAAAGACTAAAATAAGAAAAAAACTGGCCTTGTATATTCTGAAATATAACTACTGTATGATGTAAGTGTTTGCATGTTTCACACACAGTGCTATAACACCGCTGTTCAAGTGTCACTGTGTCATTTGTTGCAAGTCGGTTATTATATATCTGTTTCTATTTATTTGATCTCAGATTAGTCGTTATTTGAAGCAGTACCCCCCCAGTGTATTACAGTCTGTAATTCTATGGTTGAGGAGTAATAAATAGATCCTCTGATTATCAGCTAGGGGTACAATGCTCTCATTATTGGAATAGCATGCATGAACATTTATGCGGAGAAGCATGTTTGTCATGTTCACGTGCATTATTTACTTCTGCTTTACTCCAACCACAGGTCCAAATATTTGTGATTTAAGTGATCGGTTAATAAATATTTAGTTGAGTGTTTCAAAGGGATAAGTAGCACCCTAGGTGTTTTGTTAATTCGATGTTGTTGGCATGAGGGGTTGGGTGAATCCATGCATCAGCTTGGAAATTCAAAGACTTATAATACGTTACTTTATACAGTTATATAACAAGCGGGGTGGAAGCAGCCCACCTCCTGAATGATCGTAATTGTGTCGCAGGGGCTATAAGACATCTATGACTGGCATCTATGACTGCAAATTCTTACAAAATTTTTGTGGTTATGAGTGTTTGAAGGACTAATGGAAACAGTACGCTCTTGAATAATATTCTCCCCATGCTCTTTTGTAGTCTGTGTAAAGACCAAATGAAAGGAGACATGTTCCTTTTTTTTTAAATACAAGAGAACAACTGAATGGGTTATTTCCCCTCTTTCTATCTTTAATAACAGAATATGTAAAAGTTGCCTGTATTCTCAATTAGAATTAATATGTCTGTATTTGTGAAAATTCTTACAGCAGATTAAAAGAATGCAGCATCTTTAAATATAAAAACAGGCAGATTTCATACAGTTCTATTCTTTTCTTAGTTATTTGTTTAGTATGTGTCTGTCTGTGGTTCCATCACCATGCATTTCTTTTAAGGTGGTTTTAGACCTTTTCCCAAGCACAAATTATGTTAGATGACTTTACGAAGATTTCAATAGGACAATACATTTTCTCTCTCGGAGTTGTGTTGTCTGACATTTAAAAAAAAAACCCCAAAAAGCGTAAGCACTGGGTTTTTAAAAAACACTATTTGCTCTTTGAATTTTGTCTTTTTTGTGGTTTTACGTTTGTCACAAACAAAGTAACTTTGCCAGAGAACTGGTCATTTCTTCTTTAGGCAGAACAACATGCCTTATTCTGGTACTGTAGCTTTTCGTGTAATACAGTTTAAAAGTGGTTTTTTTTTTCCGGTGTTATATTTTGCTTATTGGGTGGACATCCATATTGTGCTCCTGATGTAGGTTACAGTCAAACCTGCCCTAACAGCCACCTGTCCAAGACGGTCACCTGTCCAAAGGGTCACTTCCCACATCCCTCCTTGTGTTTTTTCTATACCATAATGACACTGTCTAAAACTTGTGGATAGTTGGTGGGTGCTCTAGTGTGGTTTGCTTCTTCTTTTCTAGCAAATGTCTATCGTTTTTATCTCCTCTCCTTTTTTGTGTTTGTTACTCTCTTGTAACACCTCTAATCTTCGGCACTCATATGACCTTATTGTTTTGCAAATGCTGTAAAACACTTACTAAAGCTTAAACTAAAACTTGCACCTGTCTAAGATAACTACTTTTCTCTCAGTAATAGGTGGCTAGCTTGGGCAATTTCGACTATATATTACGTTTGGACAGACTGGGTTTTTTTCCCCCCAGAAATACTATATTTTCTTGTGTGCATGTTGAAAAATTTTTAGGAAACCAGTTACAAAGTTGAAGCATAACTGTATAACTCCAGTGATATTCTGGATGAGGTGAGCAGACGTCAGACATACCCAAGATATTTAGGAAAACAAGATCAGGATAATATGATAATATAGCCTTTTTTTTTTTTTGAGCATCCAAACAAAGAAATGTATGGCAAACCTTGATCTCTGATGTGTTTTACATGTGGCTCTTTATGATACTGAGACTTGACCTTTTTGCACTTTAACCCCTTCAATTTGTTTTCCCTTGCTGCCTACTAATCAGTTGCTCATACATCTTTGCCCTTTTTTGTATCTCCCTCGCATGCGTGCCTCTGTCCCTGAATGCTGTGTGTTGGGCTCGTGTCTGTGCCGTCATCGGTCGGTGCAGATTGATGATGTTCCCGACATTGTGAAGAGCTCGCAGACTCATGTTGACGGCATTGATGAAGACACCATTGACAGGGAGATTGTAAGTAGTTTTACTCTTTCCGGGATGGGGTGGTAGTTTTCCTTGTGGATTTGATGGGGGAATGAGGTGGGTCCTTTTGGATTTGTGGGGGCTGGGTGTGGAATTGTTATTTTAGGAGTAAAGTGCATGCCTCTTATGTGAAAGTGTCTGGTTTGGTGTTCCGTTCATGCTGGCATGATCAGTGGATGGTTTGGGGCTTTTTCTTCCTTTTTTTTCAATGATTTGTCATTGCTTATAATATGGCAATCTAATTGGCAACATTGCCTTCAAAGCTATGCAACAGATTAGGTTCTGAGCTTAGCATAGGTGGGAATGAGTACTTAAAGTCTTTTCAGATGAGGAGGGAGAACTGTGAAACTCCATTGCATGTTGAGCATGTCCAAGACAGTTGAGGAAGAATAAGTCTGTAAACCTGAAGTATTTCTTCTGTCCATTCTGTTTTGTGTAATGGTTTAGATCTTGGCAGTTGCACACAGAAGACGGAAGTTTGATTCTTGTGTTGAGAAGTTATTTTATTTAATATCTCCTCTGTCTGCTGGGATGTTCTAGTTCTAACCCAATCGGTCTGTGTTCTTTGACCTTGACAAGCAGGCTCGTCCTAAAATATGTAAATTGTGTCAGTGGGAACATCACATATTTACATTTTATAGTCAATCATTTAATTGTTTATGGCCAATGATGTGGGTGGTTGGCGGGTGCTCTGGTGTGGTTTGCTCCATCTTTCCCGTCAAACACCTTTCGTTATTTTCTCTCTTTCATTTTGTGTTTGTTACTCTCTTGTAACACTTCTAATCTTTGGCATTTATTTGGCCTTATTGTGTAGCGAGTGCCGTAAAACTTTAACTAAACAAAGGCAAACAATCATTAGAAATTTGTATTGAATTGGTCACCACTCAAGACTGAAGACACTTTGGTCAGTAAAGATGCTAAGGAGCAGTTTCGAAAAGTGTGTAATCTGCTCAACGAAATGTGAGAGCAGGTAAACCATCAACTCCAGTAGGAAAGTAGGGCAAAATAGGTAGCTGTGTTGCATTTTGATCTGAAGAGCCTTCAGTTGCTTTTTCACATCAGAACTAGCTGGGGAATCGTAGAATGGTTCTGATTTCTTCTGTAATGTTGTGATGTGTATGAAAAATTCTTTTTTTCAAAAGTGGTTAAATGTGTTTGTCAGATAGAGAATGAGCTGATAATCCAAAAATTGTGTCAAATAAAGTGAAAATGAGGGTATGTTTAGATGTCAAAGCTCATGTTGACAGCTGGTTTGAATTTTTACTCTAATTTAGCTTGCTTGTTTATCTCTTTTTCTTTTTCATTAACTGTTCTTAAAATATGAATAATCTCATTCTGTTGGTCTGCCATGGTAGTTGAAAGGATGTCTTTTTGACCAATGAGAAACTGGCAATACTACTTTAAACAATTGAGTTTTTTTGGATAGAACTGCAAAATATTTTTTTGTTAGTGTTTTTGCCATGAAAGTGTGATTGCGCATGATTTTGATAATTCTAAGTCAATTTCAATTTGTGCTTACTTCTCCTATTATTTCTCAATCTTAATAGTCTCTTTCTGCTTTTCAGCAAATTTCCAAATCCAGTTTGCTCCTTGTTCTTATAATCTTTCCTCCTGTTTTTTTTGTCATATGTTTCTCTTACGTAATGCCTCTAATCTTCAGCCTTTATGTGACTCGTTTGTAGAGCAAATGCTGTAAAACTCGTACTAAAACTAAAAACAAACGTCTTCCTTCCTGTCAGAGTAACTGCAGGGGCTCTCGTTGCCTAGAGGTTAAGGTGTTAGCCTCTCATTGAAAGGTCCCGGGTTCGAATCCGGGTAGCGACCAAAAAATTTTCTTCTCTAAAATTGTCTCCTTTCACCTCCTTTCCTGCTCTCTAGCAATATTCTGTTGTCTGCTTTCAATTCCACTTTCTGCCCCCACCCCCTCACCTCCTTTGCCCCCTCCTCTGGGCTCCTGAGTCTTTCTGCAGCCTTTCTACTGCTACTCCTTGGCTCCTCCTTACTGCTGTCTTTCTGCCACACCCCTGATCTTCTGGTAGGAAAGATCTACACCTAGCCTTCTCGGACAAAGGCGAAAAATCTGGGAGGGCCCGTGTGCAAGTTGCGCCCGTTAAAGATCTCTTGGTGGTCTAAAATCGATAAGAGTTGGCTTCGGCCGCCACCCGGGCAAAATTCAAAATTTCCTACCCACTGAAAATATTAGGTGTGTCCCGCGCGCTCACATGACCTCATGTAGTTGCGAGCGCAGTAAAACACTTTACAAAAACAAACAGAGTAACTGCTCACCCTGTAAGTGCTTTAGAATGTTGACAAAATGTCGTGACTCCTTCTGACCACAGATATTGGATTGGTTTCTATCTGCATTGTCTAGTCTTTGTTGTCCTCTTTCCCACAATGTGTTGATTTGATTGGTCTCTGATACTAATGTCTCTATGTGATTGGTCGTTTACTTCAAACGGACAATTTTATTGGTCATTGTGAATGATGAAGAAATTTGATTGGTCATTGCCTGTAGCATGTCAATTTGAATGGTTATTGCTTACAGTAAAAAAAAATGTAAAGCTGTTCCCACTTCCGATCCGTACATTGGGGATTGCCTAGTTAGTGAGACAACTTCCTGGGCCTACGGCAAATTGTGGTAGGGTGGCCAGTTCCTTTCCACGCCGCCTTTACTTCCCCAACTCAAAGTCAGGTACCCATTACTGCTGGGTGGGCAGGAGGGGGTGAAAAAAATCTGAAATGTCCGAATTACAGTATAACAGTTTAATTGGCCATTGCCTGTAGTGTGACAATTTGATTGGTCATTGCTTATAGTATGACAGTTTGATTGGCCAATGCCTGCAGTATGACAATTTGATTGGTCATTGCAGCTGTATGTGCCAGACAAGGTTCTAATCCCGGAGCGCTACGATGCTGAGGCAGACGCGGAGCAGCTGACGGCGGAGGACGAGGCTCGGAGGCAGGAGAAGGCTGAGAAGATTAAGAGATTGCTCACTTCACAGAGGTTCGTGGTAGAGATAAGAGCCAGATAAGATTTAGCCTACTTTGTCTTTGTTCCAGCAGGAGTAACTGAGTCCATGTTTTTTAATCAAAGTAATAATGCAGATGGTTTCTGTAGGGCCCACTCCTGTACAAGAAAGCTTTAGGCACTTTTTGATACCTTCATGGTAACACAAAATATAAGTGAATAAAACTGCATTCATACAGTCGAAATGGTGACACATAAGCTGACATTCATACCATCACAACACAATCGTTGATGATATGCACGTCACGTTATGAACTTAACAACACTCTATGGACATGTGTAAATGTTATTAGTGTGTTACTTAAAGTAACCTTTGTTGTTTGTGCTTCTTGTAAAAGACTGAACAGTTGGGTCAGTTGGAAAAAAACAAACAACTATTGGTGGTGCATCAGTCTTTGCGTATGGTGGGTTCAACATCTCCAAAGTGAGCAGGTGGTTGATAGGTACCAGCGGTGTGGTCTGTGTTGTTTGGTTCTTTCAGTTGTCACAGTTGTCCTGTCTGGAGCCTTACTAGAGAAATATAGAGGGGAGAGACAAGGTGGGCGAGAGAGAGAAGTTGGAGAGAGAGATGGGAGAGAGAGGGAGAGGAAAAGAGAGAGAGAGAGAGAGAGGAAGAGAGAGAGAGAGAAAGAGAGAGAGAGAGAGGAAGAGAGAGAAAGAGATAAGAAAGAAGAGAAAAATAGAGAAGAAAGACAGAAAGGAGTGAGGAGAGAGAGAGAGACAGAGAGAGAGAAAGAGGTATAGAAAAGAGAGAGATGAATGGAAGAAAAGAGGCTCTAAATAAGATGCAGTACAACAACAACAACTTGACTTTACCATGTCCTGTCCACAGTGTTCTGTCCATGTCGCAGCCAGACATCAGTCAGCTGGAGTCTGGTGAGGTCCACTCCCGTGTCCAGCAGGAGAAGAAGGAGCGGGCTCACTTCCTGGCCCTCAGTCAGCAACTGGCCAAACAGGTCACTCAGCAGACCAAGAAACAAGCAGGTAGGTCGTCGTGGTGGCTGGTGTTGTCTTGGGATTACCGTTTCTTCTTTTTACCCTTTAAGCCCTAGCCACCAGTACTCTGGTGGCGTGTAAAAACTGCCTGTATGCTTAGCCACGGGTACACTGGTTACGCACCCCGGGGTAGTGCCACTGACTGTAGTGTCTTTAGGCCATTCCCAAAAGGGTGACATTTCTCGTTCAAGCACAGTAGAATTGTAAATGGGCTGATTCATGTCACACTCATAACTGTGCCTGATCTGCAACAGGGAACTGCTGCTTTTTCTTTCCTAATCCTTACTATTGTCATTTTTCCTCTACTTCTTTTGTATGTTTGTCACTCTCTTGTGACCTGCTGTTTTTGGGGTGCCTTGATAGTCGAAGCAGATTTTGTGCTGTTGAAGCTAGAGAGGTGAGCAAAATAAGTCTGATTCCCTGTAAGGACTTCTCTGTTGACATCCACCCCTTGGCGCTCATATGACCTTATGCAGTTGCGAGCTCCGTAAAGCCCTCTATTATTTTTTTTTTTTTTACCCAAAAAAACCCACTGTTTGCGTGTAAAACTGCCTGTATGCCTTGCCACCAGTACACTGGTAAGCAAGACTCTATCCTCAACTCGGCCCATCTGGGACAAAACGCACACAGGAAACCGTGTTTACTACACAGGATGTTTTTAAAAATTATTCTGAAGATCTTTCTGAATTGTATACTGGTAATAACGAGGACTACCTTGAGTGGGATATGGAATGTGATTCTGATGATCTTAGTAATGTTAGTAATATATTGCTCAGGAGCCCAGGTAGAGGGGCACAATAGCCTCAGGAGGTCAGGGCTCAAAGCGCTGTTTTCCCACGACAGTTTTAGTTTTAAAATTTTCAGATGACTCTTTGTTAAAATTTTCAGAAAAATGTCATAGATTTAGTTTTTCTTTCAGTCTTTTTAGTTATTTTATTATGGTACCGTTTAAGTTTTCTGATAACTGTTTTTAGTAAGGGTTTTTTTAAAGAACTGCTTTAGATTTCTGATAACCCTTTTAGTTATTTTAATACCCGTTTAATTTTTCTGATTATTATCCTTCCTGTCTTGTGTATACTGTATGTGTACGTAGACAAGGCTGTGTTTGCTTTATTTTCTTTCTCTTTTTATGTTGATCTAGCAAGAAACAGACTCCCAGAAAGTAAATGATTGGTTCCCAGTCGGCTGTTAATTATACTTGTATACCCCATCACTATATGGCTCGTGACTTCATATCAGGCTGTGGGTGGTTGGCGGTGCATTGGTGTGGTTTTACTCCTTTCCTATCGAACATCTATCGTCCTTATTTCTCCTCTTTCTTATTTTTGTATTTGTTACTCTCTTGTTGCACCTCTAATCTTCGACACTTATATGATGTATTGTGTTGCAAGTTCCTTAAAAACGCTTACTGAAACAAAACAAAACGAACCAAAAAAGTCTCAGGCTCCATGTTAAGATTACAGAGATTACAAGGTTGAAGAAACAACAAAAACCTCAAATAACACTTTTGTCTTTTTCTTTTCTTTTTTCAGCGGAACGAAGAAAAACATGGTCAGGTGGTCAGTTTGCGGAAATAAAAAGGCAGTACGATGAAGAAATGGCCAACTCTCCCAGCTCTCCCTTGCGGAGCCCGGACTCAGTCCGACAACGGGCCGGGATCACTCTACACAGCTTGACATAGAGAAATTTCTAGAGCAAGGCTAACGGTTTCTCTCTGCTTCGTTAAAGGGAAGAAAGGGATCCTGGATTCTTCTGCTCATTAAACGGTTTTTGAGTACAAAGCCCGTTACATTTGTTGTAGATGTTGCATGTGTACAGTGACAGCTAGCGAAGTTCTATTTCATTCATATTGTTCTTCGTGGGGAAAATTATGTCTTCTGAGGAAGATACAGTCCATAATCAAAGTACTACTCTTTTTCTACAAAAAAAATTCTCACCTTTTCTTTTTCTTTGATGTAACTTCAAGAACAATTTTACTGTACTGGCTAGAGTGTATAAAGTAGTCGTATTTTACAAAATATTTACATATCAATGTATATTCCTTCTCTTACAAAATATGTACAAATGTGCGCAGTTCTACTACGCAAATATGGCAAATTGTTATGATATTCAGTTTTCTTGCTTTGTAATTTTTGAACAACGGGAGCCCAGGGTCAAAGATCACTTGTGAGTGAAAGGAGACAATGTTGATTTTCATTATGGAAGTATCTACAAATTGAGACAAACATCGTAATCAAGTGTGTTCTGTCTACATTGAGAACGATATGTCCTTCCATTGTGTTGTTACGCCGCTATTCAAAGTTTGCATATATTGAATGCCTCAACTAGTTTTATCTTAAGATATGTCAAAGTTGGTGGGCAATGACAGGTGGAGTCTAAAATTTCTCCAGAAATCGTTTTCAATATTTGCCAGTGGAATATGTTATGTAGATGTAGGGTACATAACAAGAAGAAGAAGAAGAAAAAAAACAACAACACTTTTATGGTTCTGAAATAATGAAAATGATTGATGGGATCAGAGAGAATTTCTCTCAGTCTTCAGTCAGATAGACTGTCCTAAAAACTGTAATTTTGCGGCCTGTTATATGGTGTGTTGTCTGGTCTGTGAGAGTAGGTGATGGGTCTGTAGCCCAATAAATAAAACTGATAAACAAATATAGAGAATTGTTGAGATAATCGTTTCTTTCTGCTTTTCTTCATACAGTATTCTTTTTTTTTAGGTTCTGTGAAGTCAAACAAAAACAATGGTGGTTTATTTTTTCAAACCAGAAGATATACGCCCGTTGCACCTCCTCCTTCCTTCCCCCCAAAAGAAAAAAAAATAAAAAAAAGAATGAGGTTAAAGCCATACTTAGAAATGAATTTTTTTTGTTGTTGTTGAAAGTTGATTATCAGGTTACTGCATAAGGTTGCGGAGTTTTGTAGTAGACTTCTCTGTAATATTTGTATGCTCCCAGGTCGTGACCAAACTTTCACAGATGCAGGAAGCAAAAATGCTGAGCTGATACAGTGGTTCGTCTGTGTTTTTTGTTCACAATGCTTTTAAGAGTATTATTGTTCTTCTACATCTTGATTTGTGCGTGCATTTTTGTAAATATGATTCATGATCAAGCAATTTGTGTTCAAACTAACTAATCAAGTCTGTGCCAGTAAGTGGATATGTTTCATGCCGTGTGTGTGCTTGTTTTTTTCTCTCACTTCAATGTTCTTTTAGTTAGAGAAACTGTGACTGAGAGCATGTGCCACCTCTTGTGAAGGTTGGGCTGCTTCCTACGTTGTGTTATTAATAGTTACGTAGATATTAGTATCATCATTTTTGTTAGATTTGGTGATACCAACTTGTTAAAATGTATTTTGTCTTAGTTCTTGCTTTTTATACTCTATCTGTACATATCGAATTTCAGAACCTCTTGTGGTGGTGTTGAATGCTGGAGTAATGTTATTACAAAGAGGTTCTGTATGCAGAGAACTACATTCACTTTTATTTTTGTATAGGTTACTTAAATTACAAATGATACTTTCAGCCCTTGTGTTGTAGGCTGTTTCAGGTTCCGGTTTTATCTATCGCATTAAAATGCCACGAACATGGGCTTTTGGTCTTCCAGTCTATTGTTAAGCATTGCTCAATGAATGGCTATGTTGCAGGTGATTCTTGTTTGAATCTCCAACTTACGTATTAAAAAAAAAACTTTTTCTGTGGATCGAGTTGTCATGGATTGACTTCTTTATTGGCTAGGTCTTGTCTTGAATAAACGTGTGTGTTAAAAGATATTTTTAAAAACTCAATCCTCACTAATGTGTCCAGATTTGTTGATAATGAACCGGTGTTGGTTGTTTCTTGTAGTGGGGGATGAGGGGCTGGGGCTTTTGTCTCCCGTCGCCCCCACTTCTGTCTCATCAGTGGGACAGGGATAAAACATGGTTTTTTTTGTCTTGACAGAACTACCTGAGGATATATTAATAATTTAGTCTCTGATGAACGTGTATCATTCTGATCTGAATGCTGTTTCAACGATCTCTTAACCCTATCCGTACGTCGTGTTTAACTATCGTATCCATACGATGTGGGGAACTCTGTGCACCACTTTCCAAAGAGGAAGTTTACTCGTTAATCCGATCCGTACGCTTTGCATAGCTGTCTGTCAAAATGATTTTTTGAAAAATACTGAAAGTTTCAAAGAGATTTTAGTACTACAAATACTATCGCGAGGGTATAAAATGAACCCAGGGCATACGGATAGGGTTAGAAGAAGTCTGTAGGTTTTTTAAAATGTTCTTTACCCAGCAGGAGATCAGAAAGAGCAGATAACGTGACACCCCCCCTCATGTGGTCAGTCTCCTCCCTCTATGAGGATCATCTGACTCTGCCCCTAGACCACCACTGTAAGCAATAGTTCATGGGTTGAGCTTTTCAGCAAGATAAGATGAATGAACTCTGGCCGCCTTCAGTTTTTTTGTGGGTTTAAAAAAAAAATAAAACTTGTTTATGCGAGAGTGCTCTTTGCACATCACAGGGATATCTCAGTCGGTAGTATGCTTGTCTGTGGTGTACTTGACTTTGGTCTGAATCGACACCTGGTCTTTCTTGTGTGTTGATCATTTGAGGGGGCATTGTCAGGACTGTCTGTCCGTGTCTCCCACTCCCACCCCCAACCCACCCTACTCTGTCCTATTGGAGATTGGAGATTTCTACATAAATGAGAACCTTCTCTTGGATCATAAATTATCTTTCAGGCAGTATTAAACTCACCCACACCATAGCATTCCTATGTCACTCTGCTCACTATGAGACAGTGCAGTTTGTGTGTGCCTACAGTTTCTATTTGCCCTTCACACATTAGAAAAAAGATTCTTCTTTATTGCCAGTAGTTGAAATGACACTTCAATTTAAAAAAGAAACAACAGCAGATAAATAAGTGGTGGTATTTGGGAGTGATTGGTGAATCTCCAGGTCATGACACTTGTGTGGATAGAGTTGTATACAAAGCATGTTTCTTCTAAGGAGGTTTTTATTCACCGAAATTGACGTTGATTAATCCAGTATATATTTGAAAACTCTTTCTGTCCAAATTTCTGAGATGTCCTTAGATTTTATCATTGTCTGACTACGTGTTCTGAAATGAGTACAACGTGTTGTGGTCCTCTGTGATGTAGTTGTTTTTTTTTTTTCTTTTGCTTTCCCACCTCTCTTGCCTTGTAGCGCATGCTCATAGACATTTTTTGAGCTGCTGCAAAGATGTGATATTGGAGTTCTTCATATACCTCAGATGCAAGTGAGAATGTGGTTTAAGACTCCCTGAAGGAGACTGCTAGATCAGTGTATTGTTGGGAACAAACTCATTGTTGTAGAAGAGATTTTTCTTAAGTTTACACATTGATACTTGTGATCTTGTTCGTCTGTTGTTGTAGAGAGATCAGAGATTTGATCTTTGGAAAAATAATGATCAACTGAAATATGCAACATTCTTTCTGTATGATTTTTTTTTTGTGGCCAAAAAATGAAATACATGGTATAAATAATGTGCATTTTCACAGGATCTTTTAAATTTGGACATGATTTTTTAGTATAAGTTTTGAGTTTAGTTTTGTCGTTAGGAGGAAGTTGCACTTAAATCATAAATGGCTCTCAGTTGGGGCTGGAATTGTGTTTTCTACTGTCTTCAGTAGGAATACTTGTCACCACCAAGAAGCTATAACACTAACACTGCATGCAGTGGAGAAGACATTGGCTTGGAGTGACGGCTGTGGTGGTGATATTGGACTTGAGAGTTGCTGTGGTGGATTTTTTCACCTCATTTGAACGAATTGGACTGTGCTCAGGTTCTGTGGAGACAGGACGTACTTTAGCTGTGTACAGAACTGCTGTTTATTTTCTTCAATTTCATATACCTACATATATATATACTATAAAATATAATATATTCTAACAAATTTTACATGTAAAAGTTATTGAATATTATTCTTAATGTTGACCCAATGTACAGCTGTTTTGAAGCACTTTTATTTTTACAAACCGCAGTGCTGTGAGGTGGAACAACTGCTGTTACTCTAATGCTCTCTGTATTTGAGGTGGGCACTCTACAATATCTGCACTTAAGGGGATCCACTGGTCAGATCAGTAAAAATTTTGAAAAAATATCAGTTTTCGGATTTTGGTGTATCTTAATAGATATCAATATCAAGGACTCATCTTTAGAGCCTAATTCCTCTATCAAACTTATAAATAGCTGGAAAATGCATTTAAGAGAGGCAGCAATGTAGGAAAATCTTCACCAAAAATTATCTCTCTTTGCAGTTTTCTCAGAATTGTTTATCTGACCAGGTAGCAACACTATATTGAGTAGATCTCAGAAAGTTACTGTCAGAATTGTTTCAAATTTGGACACAATCTTTTATACACATTACTCTATAACTTTACAGGAGCATTTTTGCTGTTTATGGAACACATTTGGAGTTTTAGGCCTGTTTTATTTGACAAAATCTTAAAACATTGGAGACCTGAATGTGGTGCACAGCAAGGACTGTAAGGCTCACAAGTCAGTACAGAACATTCACATTTGGCTCTGTAAGGTTGTTCTACCTACCAACAGTAATCGCCATGCCAAATATTAGGCTTCTATCTTGATGAGTGTTGATGATTGACAAAATATAAAATTGGTTTTAAAAATGCTGAATCAATCCTTTATTTTTGATGGCTCGAGATTATTATGGCAGAAATCTTGAATTTTTTGCTTGGTAACCTTTTTTTGTACTATGTCACCGCCTTTGATGCAGAAAAGCAAGCGTTAGACCAAAAACTATAGCATTTGGGTGTTGACCATAGCTACACCCCCTTAATACCATCGAGTGTCAGTGTTTTATGTCCCCTTTAAAGCAATTTATAACCGATGTTGTCTGTTGTGTAGCAGCTAGGCATTTCGCTTCCACATGCCAAAGTTGCAAGTTTGATTCCCAGGTTGGGAGTGTTTTTTGTTGTGTTTTTTTTTCATCTGGTGTCTACGTCTCTCTGCTGGGATGTTGTATCCCTCCAAGCCCGGTTGTCCCTGACAGGCAGGGTCAAAGCTAGCCTCCTAAATGATGTAATATGTGTAGTTACGGGCTGTAAAACTTCTACTTTTTCGATTACGTACATTTTGATTATCTAGAGGCAGCCTGTTGTGACCTCACCTGTCAAGAGTGAACCAGGTTATGTGGGACTGTACTTCCCATCACATGAGAAAAGATTCAAATGTGCGAGAGAATATCTTGCTCAAGTGGAAATTGATGAGGTCCGTGTTCAATACAATCATGTTAACCTATAGGTTTCGTGACAGTTTTGATTGTGTGGTATGTATTCTATATTTTGCAACAGTTGGATTTTTCACCTTACTAATTTGTAATGACTGTAGATCTTTCACAAATGTCAGCTTTTTACCTTACTATTTTGTGATGAGTGTAGAACTTAGACTTAGCCGTGGACTAGAACTGAAGACTTAGCTGTGGAAGAAATGCCAGTCTTGACAACAACAAAAAAAAGGCAGTCACGTAGCCCTTGGTATTCACTGTAGGTATAAACAGGGAGCATATTGTCTGCTGTTTGTTGTTTATGCTTCTTCTTTGTAACCTTTTGAGTCGACGGTTGATTCCACAACACATGGCTCTTGGAAATGTGAAATAAGCTTTTGTTTGTCAATATCAGTTGGAAGGCTTATGTCAGAACAGACGGGTGATGGGGAAAGACAAGGATCATTTAATATAGATAATTTCAAGGGCATTGAAGCAACGAAAAACAGTTAATGGCAAATTATGATCACCAATGTCTGCTGCAGATCTGGGAAGTGATGATGATGATGATGATGATGATGATGATGAGATGAGTATTGAGAATGCAGTGTGGAATAATAGAGGTGATCCTTGATCTGAAGGGTGCTCAGTAATGAAGTATAGGGAGTCCTGCTTACCTCTACCCTGTGGGTTGTTTCTCTTTGGTTGCTGATGGCAGGATCTGATGTGAAAGCTTTTGAAGAGTAAAACCAAAGATTCTTTTCCTGTATAGAATCTTTGGTAACACTAAAAGGTCATGCTGAATGATTTACTCTTGTTTGTACACATGTACAAGAACATGTTAGAGAATTTTTCTTTAGCGAGGAAGAAATGTGCACACACACCTGGCTGAAAGATTGTTCTGAGTGTGCAGTATTTTTGTGAATATCTTCTTTCATCACACATAAAGTTGATCGATTTGATTGGCTGAAGAAGATGAATGTATAACAGATTTAAGAACAACAGTGTACAGAATTACATGTTTTTAAAATCTATTTTTGTGTTCTACCTGTAATGTAACATGTTTTTTTCCTCACCTTACATTTTGTAGGAGATTTGTAATTCCATTAGTTTTGTTTGTTTTCTTGTCAGTATACATGGCTGCGGTGGCCCCCGTGCCTATGAGTGGTTCATACATTCATATATACACATATTAAATTATAGACGTAACATGCTTTCATACATCTTGCAGGCTTATTAGTACATTACCGTACATAATATTACAAATAATTTGAGGATCTGCAATGTAGGTATTTTGGCTATTTATGTACATAGCGTATGTTTTATTGTTTTGTAACACAATGTGTCAGCATTGCCCAAGGGTCGGTGGACTCCTATGTTTGTTGGTCAAAGCATAATATTTCCCCTTCATCATGACTCCAGAACATGACAGTGTAAATAGCT